AATTAGATAATGCAATGGCATGACATCACCCTTGTTGCTTTAACACTATCCCTTACCATGTAGTAAAAATAATATAAATTCGGGAGGTAAATAGCACGGAGAATGTGCTTTACGTCAAATATGATGCCAAGATACCAAACCTCAACTTCCAAAATACTCAACCATTACTAATTAAATAATAATTACAGAAGAAATAATCAAATAATTAATAATCTAACCTAAGAATTGATATCATAATTAGAAAGGCAACAAATCACAAGGAAACAAGTTTCGCCCGCATGCTTTACCCCAACAACAATGCATAAATGCTCATCACCTCATATATACGATGTACCCATACGTTAATCACGTAGCAAATAGGCAAACAAGTCATAATCTCTCAAGTCAAGGTTAACCACGATACTTACCTTGCTCCACAATCAAATCAAAGCTCAACCGGGGCCTTTCCTCTAAAATCCGCCTATAAAATAATTGAATCTAACCAAATATTGTTCAAACAATTCGAAATAAGCTTTAGAAACTACCCATGAGTGAAAAAGATTCAATCTTTAATGATTTCGAAAAAAGTCAACAAAAGTCAACCCCATAACCGATTGGTCAAAACCCTAGATTCAGACCAAAACCCAATCACCCATTCACCCCGACCCCAATTATGTAATTAGTTTCGAAATCCGACCTCAATTTGAGATCTAAATCCTAAATTTACAAAATTTCCTAATTTTACACAAATCCCTAATTTCTACCATGAAAATCTTACATTTGATGTTGAAAACTTATGAAATGTAATGGATAATTGAAAAGAAATAAATTAAAGTCACTTACCAATGAATTTAGGAAGAAAATCTCTTTGGAAAATCGCACGTAGGGTGTTTAGGGTTGAATGTTTGAAAGAAATGAGCTAAATCTCGTTTTCCCCCTATTTTGTCCAGGCGCAGATATCGTAATTGCGACATGGGGTTCGCAAATGCGAGAAATGCTTCGCAAATGCGAAGAAGCCCACATCTCTGTTGTCATCGCATTTGCGATGATTTGTACGCAAATGCGAACTCTAGAGCTCCACAAAAGCGACCAATTGATCGCAATTGTGATCCCTGTTGTCCCAGCCCCTTTAGCAATTGCGAAAAAATTATCCGCAAATGAGAACCTGACAGAGGCCATGTACTATCGCAAATGCGAACTAGATGTCGCAATTGCGAGGTTTGAGGCCTATGCACCAGAACCAGCAAAGTCCGAACTCTTTCAACACTCTCTCATGCGTCCGAAATTCATCCAAGCCCTCGGGGCCCCAAACCAAATATGCACACAAGTGTAATAACATCATACGAACTCGCTCGCGCGATCAAAATACCAAAATAACACCTAGAACTATGAATCGGACACCAAAACAAATAAAATTTTCAAAGAAACTTAAGAACTTTTAATTTTTCAATCGTACGTCCGAATCGCGTCAAATCAACTTCGTTTTGCACCAAATTTTGCAAACAAGTCATAAATATTGTCAACTAACGGTCAAACTTGGGAATTCTTTAAACCTTTAGATTTCTAGTTTCAACAAATTGCGTTAATTCAAGCTATGGACTTCCAAATTCGATTCTGGGTATACGTCCAAGTACCAAATCACGATACAGACCCACCGGGACCGTCAAAATACTGATCCGGATCCGTTTACACAAAATGTTGACCGCAGTCAACTCAAATGAGTTTTAAGGCACGATTTCACATTTTCATCAATTTTCTCATAAAAACTTCCGAAAAAAGGACACTGACTACGTATGCAAATCGAGGAAGGCTAAACGGAGTTATTCAAGGTCTCGAAACACAGAAATGAAGGGTAAAACTATAAATGACCTATTGGATCATCACAATTTATTTAAATTAGGTATTGTTGCCAGGGGCGAATTTAGGAGGCGGGAGGGGGTTCATTCGCCGAAAATTACACTATACATATAAAGCAAATTCCGTTTTGTTCACTTTATATATTATATTTTAAATCCTCTTGATACATCCCAAAAGCATAACTTAGTGGTCAAAGGGGTTCAAACATTTATGAGATTACTTGTTTAATTCTTATTGGCAACAATCTCTTCTAATTTTTTAACTTTTTCTTTTTTGAACCCACGTAGCATAAATCCTGCCTCTGCCACTGGTTGTTGCAAATGATTTAGAATATCCTTTGGAGTTTATATCTCAATTTTGAGGAAATTTTGAGAAGATTCAAGTTGATTTTGGTTGAAATTTCAGTTGAAACTCGAAGAAAAAGACATAAATAAATTATATATATTTTGTATATTGGGTGCACAAATAATTTATAAAATATATTCAACTAACGAAATTGTATACAAGTTGTAAATAAGTTGCATGTAAAAAATAATCAAATTTAACTAAACAAATCCAAGAAAATCCAGAATATACTGTTCAGTAAAATCTAATAAATAGATTAAAAAAATATTAATATAAGATTTGAGCACCGTCATTACACCAAAGGGCTGCATAATTGGTGGGTTTCAGTTTTCAAATTTGGGAAGCACTAGTATTGTCATCATGATATGTTTTCTCAATTATAAGCAGCTTTTAAAAAACTGACCTGCACCTGCCTCGCAACTAGCATTTTTTTCTTTTCAAAAAACTCAACATGCCCCGTACAGACAAGCCTGCCCGGCCCGCATAGGTTTAAATCCGCCTAGGTTTAAATTCGCCCCGCCGCATCTCCTCATTGCCATCTCTAGCCACTTTTTGACATCAACTTTCATGAGCGTGATAAAAGTCTCCTTTCATAATCTCTCCAAATGCATGTGGTATAGGATAAATTAAAGAGTCCCTCTTGTAGGCATCCTAGGTTACCAGTCTAAGCTAAAGTCAAAAAAGTTATTTTGTTGTTTTAGTTGCACAAATAAGAGACTGGGACAAGAAAAATCTCCTAAAGGTAAAAGAAGATTCCTTGTAGATTATTTTTCATACCAACGATTACGCGGCGCCTTCCTGATGTTTCTTGGAAGGGCGACGTAAGGCTAAGCAACCGATGTCAGTGCGGTTGCTATGCATCAACTGAGGTTCTCGCCGTACGCTAGACTAGATTGTCAGTGCCGTACGGGAAAACCAATGTCGTGAGCAATTGAGCAGCGGAAAATGAGCAACTGATGATGAAAGCTGATGATTGTATTGATGATGATGATGAAAGCTATTACAAGATGCTATGCGGTATCGGGGGGAGAGACACCAGTACAGAGAATTGTTTGAATGCTTGAATGTTTGAATGCTTTGGTCCCCCTTAATAATGCTTAAAAAAAATAAACCAAAGTTACATGAGTTGACCTAAGAAAGCTGTAGAAGCACACTGAAAATGAATGAAGTAAAACTACTCTATAATTACAATGAAAAGGATTTAGTCTTCTATGGAAGCAAGTCCGATGGCAGCAACTTTGTCTTGAGCAGCAGGGTCTGCGCGCGCATTGCTGTGGGCGTGCGCGACACTATTTGGGATCTGCCAGCGGCTGGGCGCTGGCGCTTGGCATTGGGTCTGCGCGCGGGGCACTGTCTGGGTGTGCGGCGCTGATGGCAACATGATGATTTGGGCGCGCGGCATTATCGGTGCACGCGGCGCTGATGGCATTGGCCAGCCGCTGGGCGCTGGCATTGATTATCGGTGGGGCGACAGAGGCGCATGCTCGCTTGTCACTTGGCGCTGCCGAGACCACGGGACTGACCGTGGCGCTAGGCGTTTGGAGGCTTGCCGGGACGCCACGGGGCGCGTCCAAGGGGTCATGAGTCGATGATGGAAAGCAGCCCATGACATACCTTTTGTGGCTCATGTTTGACAAGTTAAAATTTGTGGGGAACATTGGCCTGATACCCATTCTCAACAAGAGCCCTTACGCCAGGCACTTTGCTTGTCACTTCCAAATTCTTAGTCCAAGGCACCTGAATGAACTGGGTTTTTTTTAACATTCTTGTTAGGACAAAATCCATGTAAATAACATAAGCACTCGAGTGATTAGGGTTATTTTCACATAACTTTAGCAATTGGTCCCTCCGTTCATAAATTTTCTTATTAGTCCATATAAAAAAATGTACATTTTTATATTTAAAGAAACAATTAAATTATGTTACATGATAGGAAGTATAACAGTAAGTTCGTAAAATTACTATTGCCACATTAATCTGAATGGACTTCCCATTACTAAACTAGGTTATACCGGTACTATGTTAAGTCTAACTCTTGTCCCACTGCAAAAATTTAAAGCTATTACAAGAAAAATCTTATAATGGTGAAAGAAGATTCCTCGTAGCTCATCTCATGATCCTAAAAAGTTAAGACATTGGTCCGCCACTCGTGCTCAACAGAACTCATACCATGCTATTTGCTTGACACTTCCAGATTCTCCTAGGGGAACAAACATTCTTGCGAGGGAGAAATCCGTGAAACACTTTCACATGAAAGGTATATATATTGTTTTCATTCCGACATAATATACAGAGACAAAGCATAAAAATATTGATATCCTTCAACTTTGACATAGTCTCAACAGATTCTTTAGGACACCAAAGAGAAGTAAGAACCTCTCTATATTCCAGAAAGTTTTCTGCTTGCTACTGAACGGGAGACTATTGCACTTCTAAATATCAAAATATTTATATACGGTCACACAACAAATTCGTCATGACTCAATATCACAAACCCACAGGAACACTTTAACTTTTAAATTTTTTATCTTTTTAATTTTTGCTAGAGGCAAGAAGGATTCATTAATTGGGACATGAGTACTGCACTAACCACTACAAGAAATTTGATTTTTAACGACCATTTCATAACGAAGGAACATAAATCCGGTCGTTATAAGTGTATTTATAGCAACCAAATTTTTTTTCAGTCGTTGAAACTAATTGTTGCTCAATATTAACGAGGGGATAGTATTTGACCGTTAAAATATAACACAACCCGTCGTTAAATAATTATTAATGAAAAAATGGCGCTAACTTTTCCCTTTCTTTTTTTCCAACTCTCCGCCAAATCCCATCCCCCCTCCAAAAAAAAAAAGGGAAAAACCCTAAGACTTCTCTAACCGAGTAACAGTTCGTAAAACCTCTGTTTTGAAAGGATTAGAGAACTGTTATACGACGAATTCAAATAATTAGAGAAATTGCTCTAATCGTAAAATTCAGCGAATTAAAGAACGAAGTTGCTCGTCACCTCCATTGACAACAACTGCTCATCTTCGAGTTTCTTCTCATCAAGGTAAGGTTCAAAATTTTACCCCTTTCTATGCGAATTGATTAATAATTTCGCTAGAAAAGGCATCTGAACTAGAATCATGGATGAGAGAGGCCAGAGCATCGATTGTGATTTGACTCCCCATCTGTTGAGCGATATTTGTTTTGAACGAGCAACTGTTATATCTCCTGTCACGATTAAATCATTTTTCTCTAACAGTTTATTCTGAATGTCAATTTCGTACTATCAGTTTCACTGAGTGCCAAGTCTAATTGTCGAAATATCGGTCCTCCTAAAATTAAAGTTGATAATTTTTAGCTGTTGTATAACTATAGGGTTATGATCACACTTGTATATATGTATATGGATGTTGGTGTTCACTTTAGTGAAAGAATGACACAAAATACAAAAATTATTTCTATCTATATATTGTCTGGTTCTACGGCGAGGTCTGTTGGTTAATTGCTTATTTCAATCTGATCCATTGTTGATTTTCAATCTTGGCCTCTCATCCCTTTTATATACGATGGCCTGTTTGAATGGAAATTTTTTGTGAAACTTGTTTCTTGTTTTAAACTATACAAATTTGATCAGAGGTATGGGGTATGAGAATTGGCTAAGTTATTTGGTAGTATGTCTCTGTTTTCAATTTCATTGTAGTGCAAAAGATCAGTATGTAAGAATGAGCACGGTCCAGTTGGCATTGATATGGATCAGCCCCTTTCTGTGTTGTTTTAGACAAAGTCGATTTTATAGTTATTTTTTGTTGCATAGCACATTAAAATTGAAAACTGCAAAAATTAAGCTAATGTCTAGGATTCCATTCCTAACTAAGATAAATAGAATATTTAAATTAATTCTGAAATCTGGACAATATCTTACTAAACCGAGTTCGATGTGTTCGTTGTGATTAAAAATAAATCATCGATTTCTTATGTCATTTATTTTTTAGTGTTTTGTTAGATATAGTGGACAGTGTCCATTTGATAACTTAGTATCATTTGATGCCTGATTTTAGTGCTCTCTAAAACCATATTATGAAAATTGCTCGTCTCTGCGTTCTATTCTATATCTTTTTAACTTCAAATATGTCGACTTATAAACATCAACCTTGAACCTTTCTAAGTTATCTTCTTTCTCTTTTTAACTTCAACTATGTCGATTAAGATTTGAATAACTCTCTCCATTAGCAGTCTAGATTCAAACCTTGGACTGACTGAAACAAATACTACGTACAGAGTAGCTAACCTTGTTCATTCTCATTATGCAACAGTTCAAAAGAATTAGAGCAGCTAACGTTCTTTACACCATCACATCGAGTACCTGCAGAAATTGCTCCAAGAGGCTGGTTTTTATGACCTGATGCCTTGTTTTTATTAGGTGATGTATGATTTCGAGTCACCACTGTCCAATATCGCCCTTTTGATTGTCGCCCAGTTTGCGCATCAGCAGCTCCTATATTTTGAATTGGTGTAACATTAGGTTCACGTATCCCAACTTTCTTCTCCTTCATACCTGGTGTATCAAAAGCATTAGAACAGCTGATGTTTTGTGCAGCAGTGCTCTGATTTTTGGGACTTTTGGTGCATTCTTTTTGCTAGGTGATAGGTGTGCTCGATTTATCATTGTCCAGTCTCCTCCCTTAGACTGCTGCACACATTGAACACCAGATTTTAAAGCATCATTTGCCTCTATGTGCACTGCAACAGATGCCTCTTGAGTCGTGGGCACCTGCTTTCCAGTTTTGAGCACCCCAGTTCTCTCTTTCTCACTAACTTCCTGAAAATTAGTCTGCACCCCGACTGATTTGGTAAGTGTATTAACTTGATCACCAATCCCATCCACCTTAGTATTAGTTTGTAAAGCTTAATTCACGGCCTTGTGTAAAGCCCTGCCAAGGCTGTAGTAGCAGGAACATCAGCTGGAGGTTTAGATTTTCCAACAGTTGAGGCATCAGCCCCTTTAGTGAATGAAGCACCAGCTAAGGCAGTCTGCTCCGCATTCTTGATCACATGCTCATCAGTTTCACGTACCCTACTCCTTGCTCCCTCAAACATGTGACCTATTATTCATTGATTTGTCCTTGACCATTAGTACTTTGGCCAACTCCTGTAGCTGTTGAATTAGCACCTCGATCAACCTTAGAGTTTTTAGCAGCCTGCACCTCACCTGTCTAACTCCTGAGAATCCCTACCTACGGCTGCTTCAATAGGGACTATGGCAATCCCAGTAGCAGCAGCTGTATGTGTAGTTTTACCATTAATTTCAGTTGATTCCAAGCCTCTTTCATCAGCAATCTTCTGCAACTTTTTTGCATCCAACAGTTGCCTCAAATCCCCTTGAAATCGATCATCACTACCTGTCCCAACCTCCACTGTAATTTCTTTATCTCTTTGCATGTTACTGCTAGTAATCTTTGTAATCGAGCGACAATTAACCTCTTGTTATAGTTTATTAAAAAAAGTTTACTCACCATTTAAGGTGTTATCTGTTCATTTTTCCTTTAAAGTGTTCATTTTCTTCTTTAGTTATTTATTCTTTGTTACTAAACTGACATAAATTTGTTATTTTAACAGATCAAAAATTTGAAGTCCGAAGAACCTATCCTTGAAGAAAGTGTAGAGCAAGTTGAAGTACAAGAGGTTTTTGGTTCGTCGGCTATGGTTTAAAGACACTGTCTTATGTACATATATATGCTGCAATTTTACTTTTTTTCTTTATAGGAATTGTTAAAAATGATGCTTAACTCACCTCACTTTATGCTTCCAGATGTCTCCTAACTGGGTTTGCGATTTTTATTTTTCATTTAGTAAGATGAGTTTGTTACGATTTGGATTGATTTTTGGTAAATATGATACTTTCTTTCTTTGTATTAACAAGATACCAAGTATTTGGTTTATTTTCCAACGTTGTTGAGCGTGTATGAAAGCATATAAACAATTATTACTATATATTCATGTAATTTAAATTTTCTTAATTATATTTATTACATTTTCATATTAGCGAAGAAAAATGTGGTCACTAAAACCCTTTAACAACAGGTTTCTCAAACAGATAAATGACTATTAACGAAGAGAATTTTAGTTGTTAAAAGTAATTATACAATTAATGAAAGGAATATCGGTCACTAAAAGCACTCGAATTGACTTAATACAGTGTTGACATTAAAGACTTTTAAAGACCGGATAACAAATTAGCAAGGGGAAAATCCTGTCGCTAAAAAGCATGTATAACGACCGAAAATTATGTCGTCGCTAAAGATCCTTTGACGACCGGATTGTAAACCATACCTTTTAACGTCGGGACTTTTAATGACCGGTGACGACCGGATTTTTTTTCTGTCGTTATCGACTTATAACGACCGAAATTAGGCTTTTAACGACCAGATTTTCCCTCGCTAAAGCTCGTTTTCTTGTAGTGAACATGGAAAGTAGCAGCTTGAACATATTCAAGAAAGGAGTACCACTGCCTGACAATTTTAAGCCACCAAGATCTATGTCAATTTATCACCGCAAAATTGATGGGAGTAATTTCACCTATATATCTGGGCTATACACACAAATCAAATCACGCACTTTTCTGGGAAAGATAGGAAATAATTAAACCCACTCACAGCATTCCCAATTTTGACAACATAATGTAGCTGAATTTGCAACCCAAAAAAAAAGTGCCAACAGCTGAAGAGAAAAAGGATTCTTTTGTCGACACTGTTGGGTGCTGAAGCACGGAAAAAATGAAGTCAATCATAAAATTAAGATGTGAGATGAGTCGTCTTAAAGGGCGCAACAAAAAAAAACAACTCTAGAGCGAGAACTACAATATTGTTATGAAATATAACTCAAAGTAACAATATAAAACAAGAAAAACAAGCTAAGAGATATATAGAGAAAGAGAAAAGAGATTCTTATTTCTTCTTCAATTGTGTGTATTTTCCTATCTATTACAAGACCTTTATATAGGCATGAAAAGTGAAGAAAGTATGTCATTGAATTTGTCATTAAACATAGAAAATATGTCATTGAATATATCATTAAGGATTTGATATGAAGATCATGGAGGAAGAGTAGACATCCACCATAATTTGATATTTTTTATAACACTCCCCCTTGGATGTCCATAGATAATGTACCTCGTTAAAATCTTATTAGAAAAAAAATCCTAGTGAAGGAAAAAGAGTACACATGTTTAGAAATACATTTTTTGGTATGCGCATCGGAAGGATTCAGGGGTCGAAATTAACCCGAGAATAGGTAAAAATACGGCAAAGACAAAAATTGGCCGGAGACGGAGATCCGCGGCCGCAAATTGGACCGCGGATATGGCCGCGGATTTTGGCCTGTGTTCTGTCCCCCGTCCGCGGCCGCGGATTGGACCGCGGATTGGGGCGCGGATTTTTTGGTCCCCCTCTGCCCAGAATCCGCGGCCGCGAATTGGACCGCGGATCTGGGCGTGGATATGGGGCGTGTCCAGGTAAGTTATTTTTAATTTTTAGTCAAATTTTTTTTTATGTTCCCTAACTTAAACGCTCACCACCCCCACTTTCCCTCCAACTTCCCCCGCTTCTCTTCTTTCCTTCATAACTTCAAATCCCCAAACCCTTCTCCTTCCCCCTACAACTAAAACGCCCCCTCTCTTTCCCCCCATATTTTCCTTTCAACCCAAGACTCTTCTCCTTCCTTCTCTTCTCCACTCAACCAATCTCCAACCTCCGTTCTTCTCAAGATCTCCAAGTAAGTACATGATTTTATTCCTCTTTCTTTGTATTTTTCTTTTTTTCTTTTCAGTGATTTTTTTTTCAATCTTTTCCCTTGCTATTGTATGTATAGGGTAGTAAAATCATAAGTGCTTTTGTCTGGGATTTGGATTGTGGTTTATATGTGGTATATGAAGGCTATTTGGATTGGTTGATTTGGGGAAAGCCATTGTTGGGTTTGTGAGGAATGGTAGTCTAATTGGGTCTTTGGGTGACTTGGGGGGACATATGCACACTATATATTTGTTGATTTGCCTTAATGAGTGTTGAATATAAATTGTGACCAATTGTGCGAGTGAAGTCTGAGTAACCGCCATTGGGTCACATATTCTGCTCTCCACTGATAGTAGTATTTATTGTGTAGGTAACATGCAATCTTCAAGGAAGAGACGCGCTATCGGGGCCTCATCAAGTGGTCATGGAGGCTCATCTTGGGGATGGGCACCGGCTAGTGCAGCTCAGTTTGATCGTAGCAGGTTTGTCTCCAGAGCTACCCAAGACAGTTTCAGTTTGAAGGCCACTAAAACACCTGTATCGGAAAGGGGTATTGACAGGGCGTCCCTCTAGGATGAGTATCCTAATATGTATCGGGAGTTGATCAGGCGCAGATTGGACAACTTTTTTGAAGAGCTGGAGGAGGGTAACTTGATGCTTGTCCGGGAGTTCTATGCCAATTGTCCCGAACATGAGGATAGAAAATGCACTGTGCGACACACGAGGGTGGATGCCTCGATAGAAGCCATCAGGAGAGTGTATCGATTGCCTGAATTCAATGGGGAGGAGGATTTCTATGATACTTATAGGAGAGAACCCATCACATGGAACAGTTTTTTCAGAACTATCTGTGCACCAGACAAAGAGGTAGTGTGGGTTGTGTCGGGATCGAAACTACACTCTGCCTCACTCATTTTGGAAGGAAATTGCTGGTTGTACATCATCAACAGTCGCTTACTGCCGTCCCATAACACCACGGAGGTAAATGGTCCAAGAGCTGCCTTGATCTGGTGCTTCATGAATGGTCACGACTTTGATGTGGCCAAGGTTATTCAGTCTGAGATGTTCGTCCGTTCACCATAGAATTTCCCCTCTCTGATCACTAGATTGTGCTGGGCAGCAAGGGTGCCTGAGAACCCAAATGCGGATGTCATGGTAAAGAAAGAAGCAAAGTTTCGGGCATACAAAGTGACCATCGGGAAAGACCCGGTGGCACCAAGGGCAACTCATAGTGACGATTCTAATGCGTTAGAAGAGGGCGATAAAGGGAAGGAGGAGGTTGAACCTGCCTCACCCCCACAGGAACAAGCTGCAGCGGCTGAAGGACCATCCCAGGTCAGACGGAGTACATGGATGATAGCCTTAGAACAAGACATGGCAGGACTGCGCACTTCCGTCACGGAGTTGGGGGCTAGAGTTGATACTTTGGCCACCCAAAATGCGAAGTCAGAAAATAAAATCATGGACTGGCTGCGTGCGCTGGGGAGAGCATGTCATCTCGACCCTGGCACTATCTCCGATCAAGACTGATCCACCAGGGAAGTTTCTTTACCTCGCATTACTTTACTTTGTATGACATGGGGACATGCCATCTTTTTAAGTGTGGGGTGGGGGATACTTTTTTGTATGTTGTATGTAGATAGTTTCGTAGTTTATTTGTATAAATCAATTTTGACTTGGCCCGACGATGGATAGCATTCGACAGATTTCTTGAGGCACTAAGGTCGAAAGAAAAAAAACAGATTTTCTTTTGTAGTAGTGTATCAATTCCCCCTTGGTTTTTCTTTAAACCACGGTTCTTTTCCAAGGATTTTGTTTGAACCGGGTGTAGTTAACTTTTTATTTTTAGTTAGGAACTTATGGGCTATGGGCAGAATTAGAATAGGATTCCTTAATTTTGTAATGCCTTGAATATAACGGTTACTTTAGTGTGACACTTAGGCTCATTTGTTGACTCTTGTAAGAAGGCCTTAAAATGTATGTTCTTAATTTGGCTTAAGTACCCTGATCTGAGTGTTTGATGATCTAATATAGAATAAGTCATGAGCCATGTGTGTGTGAGGCTTGTTATATTCTGTGCACGACATTTAACGCCTAGAACTTGCTCGTGTGTCTGCAAAGCGAAATGGTAGTCTTGTTTATTCTGGGAAGTGATATAGACATTTCTTTGTTGAACCATATATATATACATACCTTACCCACCTATTTTCTATGTATCATAGTTAACCCCGTTGAGCCTGTAATCTTGTTTCCTTGGCAACCACATTACAAGCCCTATCCCTTGTTTGAATTGACCATATTTTTGAACCCTTTACCTCTCGTAAGCACTTGAAATACTATGAATTTACAAAGGATAAAGTGTGGGGTAGTTGGTGGAGCTTTTGAGTGGAACTATGAAAATAAGGAGAAAGGTATATCTTGTTGGAAAAGCCACTTGTGAAAAAAAAAAAAAAAAAGAAGAAGAACATTGTTAATAGTATATTATGTTGATTGGTAATAATTCTTTGGTGGCTTTTAAGGTGATTGTGCTCAAAGAAGAAGTGTGGGGTGGTATATGTGGTGTTAAAGATGAAATTATTGGTTTAACTTAGGTGTGGACTTGATTGTATAATAAATGTATTAAAGTGCTTAGGGAGGTGTAGTCACTATTATAGCCAAATATATCCTACCCAACCTGCAGTCTACATTACATCCAAATAAAGTCCTACTTGATCCTAGACTGAGTGATCTCAATTAGTAGAATCGTACAATACGGGCAAGCCTATGGTGCGTTTTCTGTGGCACAAGAATGTCATTTCTGAGGGTGAGTGAATTCTGTTCCTTTTAAAGTTCCTCAGTGTGTGTGAATTTTACTGATTGTGAAATGAGTCTTTTTTGTTGTGAGCAGGCACTTGATTCATGAAGGAGAGGTAAGTCTGGACCTATGAATTAGAGTAAGTAAGTCGGTTAGGAACATTGCGTGGCTAGAGGGAGTCAACTCTTGAGGTGTAGATGTTGCACTAATGTCCTCAATTTATGTGAAATATTCTTGGTGTGACGAGTAGGGAAGTCGCTCAGTGAAGTTAGGCCTCTTAGAGTGTGGTTTGATTGCTCGGAGATGAGCAATGGTTTAAGTGTGGGGTGTT